GATAAATAGTGAGGAAATGGCGTCACAAACTGATTACCAAATTGGCAATTTGTGATTTCCATTGTTCCATAGTTTTTCATATTAAAAAAAAAAATCATAACTTCCTTATTAGTTATCCGATTTTACTCATTTGTTTTGCTCTGCTGCTCTTGTTTTTCTGCATCTATTGAAAGCGAATTATTTTGAAGTGGATTTATCCTTTAGGTTATATACCACATTCAAGCTTTTCGTAAATATACAATATTGCACGATATATTTTCCAAATAAGTAAGGAAGTTAGATTTTCAAGATTTTTAGCTAAATAAGATACGATTTTGTGACCGGAAGGCATATGTGAACGGAGCTTTTATTAGAACTTATGGACCTACCATCTCCAGGCACCCAGAAACTATACAATTTTAGCCAATGAAAATTTTCAAGATTTTCGTTTGTCCATGACATCGGAATTCTCAAAACCTCAGGATACTAGTAATCATATTATTTAGCCTAACTTGATTTATCCACAGTCTTGATTTCATGAAACTTTCCTAACACCCCAAACGGAGCTAACCCGACCAGGCGCGGATCCAGGGTGGGGGGGGGGGCCGAGCGGGCCTTGCCCCCCCCCCCCCCCGCAAAAAAAAAGGAGAGAGAGAGAAGGAAAGAAGGGAAAGGGAAAGAGGAGAGAAAGGGAAAAAAGAAGAGGAAGAAGAAAAGAAAAGAGGGAAGAAGTAGATCGGGGGGGGGGGGCAAAAGGACTTGCTTCCCAGGCTGTTGCCCCCCCCCCCCCCAAATCAAAAAATAAAAGAGAAGGAAGGAAAGGGAAAGAAAAAAGGAAAAGAGGAGATACAAGAAAGGAAAAAAGAGGGGAAAAAAAAGAAAAAAAAGGGGATAACGACACAACAAATCGTCTTCTTTCTCTAATGATTTAATGAAACGTAAGCTTCCGCTTAGCGCGGGAGGGGGAAAACTCAATTCAGACGAGGATTATTTTTGGGGAACGGTACAACAAATCGTCTTCTTTCTCTAATAATTTATTGAAATGTCAAAGCTTCCGCGTTTCGCGGAGGAGGGAGGGGGAAACTCGCCCCTCCCTGCACCCACCCACCCCCAATTACGTCACTGCTGGTCACCATTACGAACCAATATTTGGCTCGCATAATTTCAAATTTTGCCCCCCCCCCTACGAAATTCTAGATCCGCGCCTGATGTATATACAACGGCAACAGTTTCAATATCAAATGTAAGTTCTTCAGGCGCGGATCTACGGGGGGGGGGGGGGTTTAGGGGGTTTAAACCCTCCCCTTGGGCGGCCCAAAAAAAAAAAAAAAAAAAAAAAAAAAGAACGCACGCTGGAGAGAAACCCTTTCAAGTGCAAATATTGTGAGAAGATATTCAACTCATCTGGTAACTTAACCAAACACATGATAACTCTGGATATAACTGTGTATTTACTGTTACTTGATTTAAAAAGATGTTATCATGCACTGCTTTTTATGGTCTCCATTGTGTTAATAGATGCCAGGAAAACATCACTTACGGAGTTCAAATAAACACCCCAAAAAAATCGGCTCGCCGCTTCGCGGCTCGTGGACGATGCTCCGCATCGTCATTATTTTGGTCAAACCCCCCCCTTAGCAAAAAGCTAGATCCGCCCCTGTTCTTCTTACTTAAATCATTGGTCTGGAAACAATTATTTGCCCATTGTTGTGTATTGTATTACATTTTCACTGACAATGAATTCACATTGTAATGCAATTTTCAAGTTTCCCAGGCTTATTTAGGAGAACAGAAGATTGATATTGTTAAGTTGTACGATAACATCACTCAGTTTGATTTGATTGGAGATATATCTTATTAAAAACAGAGTAAAGGTTATACAGTATCAAACAAACCTACACCATTAAACTTCAAGCTCACTCACACATGATTTATTGCGACACTTTCAAGGCTACTTTTTATTTCAAGTTCATGCATTTTTAGTAACAATAATAATTATGATAACGATAATAATGATGATGATAATATTGATAAAAATGATGATAATAAAATATAACAACAATACTACTTCCAAATTCTACGCAATCGTACATTTTTGATAGTGTTGGAAGTCCATTTATTTATCTATTCTACTTTTCTTATGAAATTCAACTATGTAAAAACGAGTTAATGTTTCCATATGAATTTGTCATTGTACATGTTTCCATATGAATTTGTCATTTGTCATTGTACATTTGCTACTGTATATTATCTAATATCTATTTGTGTATATTATTTTCTATTGTATATTGTTCATGTGCCTATGTAATGCCAACAAATGAATTTCCAAATAGACCAATAAAATTAATCTGAATCTGAAAATCTGAATCTGAATAAAAATATGTTCATCTGACCGTAATCAAATGCCTAAAACCCCTGAGCTTCTCGGGTCGGACAAGGTATCAAAATTTGTTTATCTGACCGTAGGCGCGTAGCCAGGGGGGGGGGATAGAGAAAAAATAGAGAGGAGAGGAAAGGAAGAGGACGTAGGGAGAAAAAGGAGCAGACAAAAAACATCTTTGAAATTCAGACAAGAATTAAGAGTATAGAGAATGGTACAACGAATCGTCTTCTATCTCTAATAATTTAATGAATCGTCAAAGCGTCCGCGCTTCGCGGAGGGGGGGGGGGGGGTACTGAATTAAGACAAGGATTAAGAGTATAGAGAATGGTACAACGAATCGTCTTCTATCTCTAATTATTTAACGAAACGTCAAAGCTTCCGCGCTTCGCGCGGGAGGGGGAAGGAACTGAATTCAGACAAGGATTAAAAGACGAGAATGGGTTAACGAATCCTCTTCTTATTCTAATAATGTCATGAAACATCAAAGTTTCTGCGCTTCGCGCGTAATAGGGGGGAGGGGTACTGCGAGCTGCCCGAATACGAATGTTTGAAATCTTTTTCTCGTTTATTTTGGTGATAAATAACACTTTTAAAAAATAAATAATATGCTCAAATTTTTCCTCGCTCGCTTCGCTCACTAGCCGAATTGTGAAATCAGAAAATTACTTTTTCGGACAAAAGGCTATACCCCCCCCCCCCCCCCCGATGAAAATATCAAAAATTGTACCGGTATAGTGCTTCTAATGTGACCTTGTCAGTATTGGTATGTTGAGTGAAAAAAAAACGGTCTGCGCAATTTTCAAATTTCCGGCCCCCCCCCCCCCTATTGGAAAATCCCGGATCCGCGCCTGTATTGTATATGCAGGTTTGACGTGCATTATATATCGGGCAGATGTAGTAACACCTGTACATGTACTAGGCCTATATATAGTAGCTTTGTGTACCAGAAGCATTTTCACGCCATTTCTGGTAACGGATGGATCCGGAGAACGGCAATCATTAATTTTGTTTGGCGGAATAAATCAAGTCTTTCTATCTGTAAATTGATCAATAATGCCTGAAAATCTACATTAATATTGTGCATTCGTTATTTTGTTCTCACATCGATTCCTTATCACTTACTTATCAGATCATGATCATGGAGACAATGCTATTTTGGGGCATCGTGCTTATTGGGTGTTTTTCATCATGCAGCGGATCGGTTTCAAGCACATCGCGATTTTGTGTGATCGCAAATCGAGTGGGGAGCAGTGGGGTTGGAAGCCGACGCCTGTTTGCCGTTAGATCAAACGCTACAGCTTCTCCAGTTTCCGTGGAAGTGAGCTACAGAGATGTGGACACCTCCTCGGCCGGGTGGAGCTCGTGGAAGAATCTTGGAGCTCCGATGGCCAGTCCGCCGCTGTCCAACCCTGTGTGTGAAATGACAGAACAAAATCAAACCCAGGTTTGTCTCTTTTATTACCTTTTCGGATTCCATTCATTGAATTAACATTTTCTATCATAAAGCAGTGGACGAAATAAGGGGGAGGGGAGGAGATCATAGAGCTCCTTCTCCTCCCCCATTATTCTCCTCCTCGTTTTTTTTTTTGTGTCTTCTGCCCTCCTCCCTTTCCCTTTGTTTCTTTTTAATTGACATTAGATCTCTTTTTCTTGAGAATTTATTTAGTGCTTATAATAATCATTCACTTGGTGGATTTATTTTGTCCTAGATATTGTGGCTTAATGGATGAGTTTATTCATGATCAATGGCGTACTTATTGGGGGGGGGCTGCTGCCCCCATCAGTTTACCAAGCGACCGCCCCACCAATACAATTCAAACGTGGTTTATTTTCTAATTCAGTACCAGTGACTTACAAATGTTGCTGAAATGACATGATTTTTCGGGTTTGGTTGGAAAATGACAATTTCCAAAATTCATGGTCAGGCAAAACCCCCCACAAAAGTGCTCCTTTTTTACAAAGAAATTTGGCCCTTTTTACTTTAGATAAGCAACCCATTTTTTTAAAATTTCAAATAGGTGCCCATTCCACATTCTTATAAGTGCCCCTTTACATATGGCAATTGCCCTATTCAATCAGGGAGGTGCCCATTTTACTTGAACAAGTGCCCTTTTTTATCTTTGATGAGTGCCCCTTCTCAGCTCTGATAAGTACCCCCTTTTTATTTTGATAAATGCACTACCCCCCCCCCTTTTGTAATAAGAGCCACCTTCCCTTTTCATCAATGCCCTTACTCACACCTCTAATTAATACCTCTATTAAAATCTCATAGGTGCCCCTTTTCCTATGACAAGAGCTACTTTTTCTTTGTAGTAAGTGCCTTTTTCTATTTTCACAAGTATCCCCATTCATCTCAGATGAGTGCCTGCCCCTTTTCAGGTACAAGAAGTGCCCCTTACCACCTCTTATAATTGCCTCTTTAAATCTGAGACGTTTCCCTTATACTCCCAAGTCTTGATCAGGTAATAAAATGCCCTCTCACTATTATCATTCTAATGTAGATCTTTGTGCAAGCATCCGATGGGCAAGTCTACTCGGTTATTCAAGACACCCTCAATTTTTTGAACTTCTCCTCGTGGAGGAAGGTCGGTTCCAACTCCATCCCGGTCAGCTTTCCCAATCGATCCACGTTCGTCGATTCCGTATCTGCAGTCTGGTATGGCAAGCAACTCATGGTTTTTGCTCGCTCGATCAGTACTTCTTCAAGGCTGTATTGGTGTAAAGGTATGTTCATTGTAAACAGAGGATGGGTAACCTGATAATAAGGCCTTTAAACCAAATTGTTTTATTGTCCTTGAGGTGCCAGCCCCTGGGTAGTTCGGTCGATTTTTTTAAATACCTATTTTGGCTGATATTTTTACAGTTTTTGATGCTTGAATACATATTTTGTTTTAATATTCATTAAACTTTTTTTTCTTCTAAAAAACAGTATACAAAAAAACTTTAATAAAAAGCTGACTGTGAGATTTAAAGATTTAGGGGTCGGTCACAAAGGGTAATACAACAATTTTCTAAAAGCTTAATGATGATAATGATGATGATGTCATGATGATGATATTATTGTAAACGGTTGTTATATTGCCCTTTCTATTTGTAACCAAGGGTAGCCACATCAATATTAATACTAATCTTCCTGCAGACCTGCGATTGTCATTACGCCAGCATTGCCGGGAACATGGGTGTCAATCCCGGGGGGGGGATGGGGGGGGGGGATGGGGGGGATATCCCCCCCCCCAATATTTCATGTGGGGGGATGGCCTGTACAATCAACCCCCCCCCCCCCCCAATAACTCACCATCAAAAAAAAAAAAAAAAAATGAAGAGAAAAATTAAGGATGAGAGCCCGATGAGAGTAGTTCATGGTTATTACTCGCAAGATGACCATCAATATAGTGGGATGCTCACATAAAAGACATCGAAAAAAGGGCAAGTGCCAAACTATACATGCTACGTTCTCTGGTGAAATATGGTCTTCCAAAGGAAGACCTTATTACTGTTTTTGTGGGTTATATTCGCCCTTTACTTGAATATGCCAGTCCTGTTTGGAGTGGAGGACTCACGCAAAACCAAAACGAGAGATTCGAGAGAATACAAAAGCGAGCGTTGCGGATAATTTTTCGTAGGGATTATGATAACTATGCAATTTCACTTGCACAATCTTAATTACAAAGATTACATGAAAGACGCCAATATTGATGTGTTACTTTCTTTCAAAAAACGTTATCACTCACTGATCAATTTAAACAATTTCTCCCACAATTTTTTTTACTAGAACACTTAGAAATTCAAAGAAAATTTCGGATTTTAAATGTAAAACCAGTCGCATGCAAAATAGTTCTATTCCAAATTTGATTCGCCTGTATAATAACAGTTAATATGCTCATGTTAATATCTATTGTAATGATTTATCATTGAAATGTCTCGATTTCTGTACATTCTTGTAATGATTTTGTATATCGTACCGGTATGTTTTAATGATATTGAATTGCATTTTACTTTTAATTTTGAATAATTATTTCAAATAATACTAAATGTTCATACACCTGCTCTTGCCGCCATCCTTGATTATTTGACCATTATACCCACAACTTCTCTAGTTGTTATGTTGTTTCCGTTCACCCTTTTTAAAATTCGCGTCATTGTTTCTTTATTTTTTGCTTTTTTCACTCATTTCATTTCCTGATATTTCCTAAAAGATTTTTCATTTTTGGAGAAAGATTATTATGTCACAACTTATTTGTAACACAAATTATTTTCAGTGGGGAAACTTAATTCAGACAAGGATTAATATAGAGAAAAGTACAACGAATCGTCTTCTTTCTCTAATAATTCAGTGAAAAGGGCAAAGCTGTTAGGGGGCAACTGAATTCAGACGTGGATTAAGCGTAATAATCAAATGAAACGTCAAAGTACACGATACAACGAAGCGTCTTCTTTTACGAATAATTTAATGAAACGTGAAAGCTTCCGCGCTAAGCGCAAAATGGGCGAAAATGAATACAGACAAGGATTAAGAGCAATAATTTATTGAAAAGTTAAAGCTTCCGCGCTTCGCGCGGTAGGGGGGAAACTGAGTTCATGAAGGACACGATACAACAAATCGTCTTCTTTCACTAATGTGAAAGCTTCCGCGCTTCGCGCAGGAATGGCCGAAAATGAATTCAGACAAGGATTAAGAGTCGAGAATGGTACATAGGATCGTCTTCTTTCTTTAATCATCTAATGAAACATCAGAGCTTCCGCGCTACGCGCGGGGAAGGGGGGGGGGAATTTGATTCAAACGTTAAGGATTAAGAGTCGGGAATGGTACATCGAATCGTCTTCTTTCTTTAATAATCTGATGAAACGTCAGAGCTTCCGCGCTACGCGCGGAGGAAGGGGAACTTGATTCAAACAAGGATTAAGAGTCGAGAACGGTCCAACGAATCGTCTTCTTTCTCTTATAATTTAGTGAAGCGCGGTAGGGGAGAAACTGAATTCATGAAGGACATGATACAACAAATCGTCTTCTTTCTCTAATGTGAAAGCTTCCGCGCTTCGCGCAGGAATGGGCGAAAGTGAATTCAGACAAGGATTAAGAGACGAGAATGGTACATACGATCGTCTTCTTTCTATAATAATCTAATGAAACGTCAGAAGGGGAAGGGGAACTTGATTCAAACATTAAGGATTAAGAGTCGAGAATGGTACATCGAATCGTCTTCTTTCTTTAATAATCTGATGTAACGTCAGAGCTTCCGCGCTATGCGCGGAGGAAGGGGAACTTGATTCAAGCAATGATTAAGAGTTGAGAATGGTACATCGAATCGTCTTCGGTCTTTAATAATCTAGTGAAACGTCAGAGCTTCCGCGCTACGCGCGGAGGAAGGGGAACTTGATTCAAACAAGGATTAAGAGTCGAGAACGGTCCAACGAATCGTCTTTTTTCTCTAATAATTTAGTGAAGCGCGGTAGGGGAGAAACTGAATTCATGAAGGACACAATACAACAAATCGTCTTCTTTCTCTAATGTGAAAGCTTCCGCGCTTCGCGCAGGAATGGGCGAAAATGAATTCAGACAAGGATTAAGAGACGAGAATGGTACATAGGATCGTCTTCTTTCTTTTATAATCTAATGAAACGTCAGAAGGGGAAGGGGAACTTGATTCAAACATTAAGGATTAAGAGTCGAAAATGGTACATCGAATCGTCTTCGGTCTTTAATAATCTAGTGAAACGTCAGAGCTTCCGCGCTACGCGCGGAGGAAGGGGAACTTGATTCAAACAAGGATGAAGACTCGAGGACGGTTCAACGAATCGTCTTCTTTCTCTAATAATTTAGTGAAACGTCAAAGCTTTCGCGCTTCGCCGGGGGAGGGGGGAACTCCCCCTCCCTGCACGCAACCCCCTAGGGACCGCGCTTCGCGTGCTCACTACCGCCCCCTAAAATGAAATCCTGGCTACGCGCTTGGGAGGGGTGCAACTTGCCACACGCTTCTACGTCTTGATTGCTTGATCCATTGCCGAAAATATTTTGGCACCTATCACCCCCCCCCCCCCCCCCCCAACCACGGATACAAATCGACACCCTTGGCCGGGAACACATTTACACCTGGTTGGAGAGTGGCAAATGTGGATTAATGTCTTGCCAAACAACATTAATACCGGGCTGAGATTCAAACCCTCAATCTTTGGATTTAGAGTCAAGTGAATAAACCACAACACCCGATAGATCCCATCTATCAACACAAAAATAAGGCTAGGTGATTGAGCATTTGCTTGTGCAGCCCCAAAACTCTGAAATAACTTACGATTAGAAGTCAGGAAATCACCATCTGTGAATATTCCACATTCGTCAAATTCATTTGACAGTTGATTCCGCTCGATTAATGCTATTGTTCGGATTATTAGAGCAGAGAGAGATAAAAGTTGACATTCTCATGACTAATGACCTTGCGTTATTATTTTTGTTTGTTCATCGTCTCGTTAATGTTATTTGAACAATATTTAATGACACAAGACGGAACTCTGGTACTATTTTTATGAAGCGTCACATGGCAATAACATGGCCGATAAATAATCATCATTACTGGGTCTAATAGTTTACAGTAAACTGAAAATGAAACTGGGCCATTTTATATATACATTGTATATCTCTCTCTCTCTCTCTCTTTTGACATTTCCTTCCTTTTCCCCTCGCTTACTTCCTTCTAATGCCTCTGTCACACTTTTCAGTATTTGGCTTGCGTATTGCTGCGAATTAATGGCAAGCTGTTTTAACGTTTGTTCCTATTTCTCGATATCAAGAATTCATTTCTTGATATCAAGAAATAAGAATAAATGTTAAAACGGCTTGCCGTAAATACGCAGCAATACGTAAGCCAAATACGCAAAGGTGTTACTAAGGCATTACCACGGAGTATGTATAATGTGCATGTTTATACCTATATTAAAGCGAAAATACTGATATCTCTGAAATGATTCTCCGATCTCCCTCCCCTTCTTCCTCATCTTCTTGTTCCTAGTAGTAGTTTGCATAATTTCAAATGATTACTTTCTGTTTTCTAGGACAATCAGGTATATTAAAATGAATCAAGAAATTTTAGAATTGGAAACGTGAAACAAATAGTAAGCATCTAATAACTTCAGATGTTTGTTTTACTATGATTCAAATTCGAGCTATTTCAAATAATAACATATTGAGTGCTTTTGCATTATCTAAAAATTTTGGCTAAAAATGCTGTCAAATGTAACAAAATTCGCACTACTGGGTTCCCGCGCAGTTATAATACGTATTTGCTATGAGGTCATTGCTCTGAACGCCATTTGCCACCTTATCGTTCTTGTATTTTCTTAAAATTGTGCAAGCGTATTCAGTGGTGGCCAAACGCAGGTCATCTTGAAGCCGGATTTGAAAATCTGTGAAGGCGGGCATTATTGACCCCATTTTATACTCTGCTTGATTATATTAGTATGGAAGGCCATTTAGGCCGCGGCACGCGTCAAGACATGTTCTTCTTTCACCAAATCCGATTTGTTATGCAGTGCTTGTGAGCCCTATCTAGGTCCCTTCCGTTATCCAGATTCCTCACAAACTTCGTAGACATAATCTCTAGCATCCCATCAAGGTCACAAAAATCTTTGTTTTCCAAAATCACTCATGCGTGACCGTCCAGGCGCCATTTTGTCTTTGCAGGCCGTTATTGAAGCCTTTCTTTCGGCCCACCTATCTTCACTGTCCTAGCTAATACAGACTTCTAACAAAATCCTCTGGATAGTCCAAAAGAGGCTCGTTCGTCTGTCACGTAAAAACACCGGCGTCAATGCATGCCAATCGTTCTAAAAGCGATTGCAGTTCTAGTTTCTGTTATTTGTGAAATAAATGTATTTGAATTTGAATTTGAATAGGCACTTCAACCAGCTGTACTTGGGGTCTTGTCGCTGGAACTGCGCTCATTGGAACAGATGCTACACTGATCAAGAATCCTTTCACGGCGAAATATGAAGGATTCGTGATATCTCCTAAAGGGAAGATGTACCGGACATGGCAGCATGCCAGTGGCAACAGCTTTAAAGCCTGGAAAGCAATGGCTTGTAAGATTTTGATTATTGTGAATCATTCAAATACATTGCTATACACACGCGGGCCCCTATAAACGTTGAAAAGGGTGGTTTCTGGTCGTTAAGGCGGGTGGTGCATTTATGGCGTCAAATAGTCAAAACATCAGGGAGAAGGATGTTTGTTGACTGACTTAATATAAAAATTAATAAACAGCAGTGAGGGCATATTAAAGTAGGTATTATCCACACAAGGTACCCTTTGAACAGTCTAACGTGCCCGAGGCGGTAGCCGAGGGTATTTAATTTGACTGCTTCGAAGGTACCGACTGTGGGTAATTTTAGTAAAGCCCGAACACAACGATGTGTATCATTTGTTTTATAAGATGGTGTCTTATTTGTTTCATGAAATGATGTTTTATAACATGAATTTACAAATGACCGGTCATTAATATTTACTAATGACCGGTCATCAGTAAAATTACGTGTAAGGCAAAATAAATGCCTGGTCACGTGTACGCTCTTAACCAATCATTTGATTAGGATCCGCTTCATCATCTTATAATAACACATAATGTATACAAAGTAGATTAAAACGTTTAGAGATGCTGTTATGCATAGCAGGTGAAATAAATGTACACAAGTTAGAAGCACTTTGCTTGAAATACATTAGTAAATTGGTCTTTCTAAAGCCATACTATACTATAAGCATCAATGCAAAATCCCCTCTGATGCCATCTCAAGTCAGCTGTAGCAGTATGGTTCCGTTACTCGCTGATTTCCTGGCTGCGCTGTTGGTTCTCTCGTCGAGTCTCTGTCTGCGAACTGCAAGTTAGTTATAAGGTAATTATTTTAGCACGCTGTTGGAAAGTTGACTATGAGATGGCGCTTTGAAATAGACAGTACGCTAGGGCTGTAAGTTTATCAGTTCAGTATCACTTTTAATAAGAGCGTAAGGGGAGCCTTCCAAAGTTGCGACTGTGTCGCGACGCGTCGGGGCGCAGAGCAGGATATGAGAACAAAGGAGGCGCCTTTATGCGCCCATTAGCGCCTTTTTGCGTCGGATAGGAGAGGACTTCAGTTGGTTGCCAGCTCATTAAAATCTGGCTATTGTTTGGAGTCTCATTGTTACGAAATTACCCCGCCGGGGCGCGCCCCGGTGAAGCACTTGACATTTGTGAATGGGAGCTTAAACTTTGAATAGCTTTCGCGCCCTTTCGCGCCCGGTCCGGCGCATTAGTTATTCATGTAGTGCCCGCTTGTGTGTCGCTCTCGTCTTGCGAGATTTGACTCTGAAAAGCATTACTTTGGCTACTGATTTGTTTTAATATTATTTTACGTACATGACATTGGTTACAATGTTTGTTCTGATTGTTTATTTTCCTCTCGAAATCGGAGTTCTGTAGGCGTTAACGTTGGCATGATTGTTCATTTTTTCATCTCCTCCTGTTCTGTTCATGATTGTGTTCAATATACTGTATCAATTTTAATACAAATTGATTTGTTCACGAAAAAAACAAATTTATTTTTATACTTACCCCACTCTCTCTGACATTGTTTTCCTCGTGCATGTTTTGACATTTTAATTGTAATTTTATATTTCCTTATAGCGATGTTATCGCATGTTTCGATTTTCTTGTTTTTTAAAAAAACAATTTTTGTTGCATCTTGTAAACAGTTCTGTCGTATGATCATTATAAATCATATAATAATATCATCAGTCTGTTATTTCAATACATAGATCCTTTGAATCTTCTTAAAATTAGAGAACGTATTTTAAAATCCGTGATGTTGAAAATGATACTTAATCAAGAATGTCATAGTTTCTCCTTGAATTGGATTTAAAAAGCGTTTTATCTGTATTACGATTTTTTTAATGCAAATGATATCCGTATTGTCGGGAACATCATCAATATGTTTCGTTAGAAGGAAGACGCTCATTTTCAGAATGTTCTTTCTTTGCAAAACACTAATGTTACGAAGAAAATTAAATACACTGCACCCGTATCATCGGGGATATCGCAAAACTCCCAGGGAGATTATCAATTGCAAATCAACATAGTAAATTATGCCTAAATCGTAAGAATAGAGCATGCATTAAAAAAAAAGAGAGTTACCAGGAAATGATGTTTGAAATTTCACCCCAAACATATCTCAAGAATATTAGTTTATCATTCTGTGTCAAAGAATTTTATCGAATATTTCTTTGCGACGAAGGGGGGGGGGGGGGGGTTACATCCGCGGCCAGTTTTAGATCTAGGTCATTGTTAAGAATAACTAAAATACGTATATAATAGTGCTGAATAGGGGCCACGTGTTATCGAAAGAGCGTAGTGCGTTCTAGAACATATACAAGCCATGGCAATTGGTTGAATTGCTTCTCGTAACAGAACTGTCTCACTGTCTAAATAAGGATCCATCCGGGGGATCCATCATGCACGTGTTGGTATCAAGTAGTAAACGGAATTAATAATGATTGCGTTGTTTTGGGACATTTTTTTCGGGGGGGGGGGGGCAGGGTAGCCCTTATTCTTCTTCTACTGGGTCATCAAGAAACACAAATAGTGTTGAAATTTTCCGCAATCCCTTTAGCGCCGAGGGTAGAAAAGCCTTTAGAAAAGTCAGCTGGACAATAGCAATTTAATGTTGGTCAAACAATCAGCGAGAAATTACTGGGCAAACAGATATTAGCCCACGTCTTCAATATAACCAGGGAATCCCGATTTAACTAAGCACATGCTCACAATATGAATATCAAATCTGGCTATTGTTTGGAGACTCATTGTTACTGTCTGGTAAAGGGGTACTTTTCACGCACCAAAGTCCGGCTCGTCTAGTACACACAAATCCGGACCGTATTGACTTTACACACCGGACTTAGGGGACTGTTTTCAAAAGGAGGGAAAATGCATATGCGTACCCTACATAACACTCATCCGGGGTGGGGGGGGGGGGGGGAGGGGTGCGCTTAAAGGCGAAGCGCTTTTTGTGAATTGTGAATTTGTGAATTTGAAAAGCTTTCGCGCCCGTTCCTACGCATTAGTTATTCATGTAATCCCCGCGTGTGTGTCCGCTCTCGTCTTGAAAGATTTGACTCTAAAATTTTCACTTTGGCTACTGATATGTTTTATTATTATTTTACGTACAAGACATTGATTTAGATTGTTGTTCTGATTGTTATTTTCCTCCAAAATATCGAAGTTGTGTAGGCGTTCACGTTGTTATGATTGTTCATTTCTGTTCATTAATGTGTTCACTACTTGTATTATATTAATGTCTTCACGAACAAAACAAAAACGATATGTATAATTGTATTCCTTCTGTATGTTTTGACACATTATTTGTTTCATATTACATTTATTTTGTTCTGTCATCCGATCAAAATAGGTCATATATCTATATCATCACTCTGTTCTTGTGCACTCATGCAAGATCGATTTAAAGAATAGAATAATAATAATAATAAAAACGTTACTTATAAAGCGCTTACCACCGAAGTCTCTAAGCGCTATACACACAAAATAGACTGATATACAATTACATCTTATACAAAACTAAAAATGCAAATAAACCTACAAATAACAATACATATGGAATACACATCAAAGTGAACAGAGATAATTAATCATCGTAGGTTCTCTAAATCTTCGCAAAATCAGCTATTGTATTTAAATACCCGTGATTTAAAAATGATACTTATAATCAAAGAGATTGAAAGATTCTGCTTGAAATAAGATTATAGGGCGTTTATAAATATGTCATACAAAACAAACAAACATCTGCAAATTAAAGATATTACACAAATGATAGTCGTATTGTCGGGAGCCTGCATCATCAAAACGTTTCGGTAGATTGAACAATTCGAAATCGCCTATCTGTTCCAAACATGAAATTCGATCGAATATTTCTTCGCGAAGAAACTTTATTGGTGGTGTCATTTGTCTGAACAATTTGTTATCTTCAATGTTCGTGACGTTTTGACGTTTCATATTTGTTAGCTAGCGCTAGTAAAGTCTTTTGTTTTAACGTGCACTGTATATAGTTATAAGGCCTGAACACGTCATGTTCACATTGGGTGTTATATAGCATACGGATATTATAGTACATGTAACTTTTAAAAGCACTTTGTTTTTGCAACGCAATGACAAAAGACAGCTCTTTGAGCAGCTAATAGTTGTTGCGCCCATTGTTCCGCTCATAGGCGGCTATTCCCAATTACCGGGCATTATTTGTTATTGTATCATTAGTTAAGTTTATTAATCTATTCATGTTTTCTATTTATTTATTTAGTTTTGGGGAGGGGGGATGTCGTATTACGAATTCATGACCCTTATACATAATGACCATGTTCTCAAATTACGAATAGCGGTCTTCATGAATAGTTGTCCAATGAATTAGCGGTCCTTATAACTAGCGAGCGGAGCCCTCCTGATTGACCTCTGCCATTTTGGTCCGGCCGTTCACTTCGCCGCCCCCCTCTCTCACACACACACATATGTGTAGCTAAACAAGAATCTATAGCAAGTCGGACAATTATAGCGATCAAACAATAGTCGCGTGAAATCCTGCCACGGCATTCTATGTTTTTACCTTTAGAGCGAACTTTTCTTTTGTACTCGCTCCATAGAACTCTACTTTATCTTACAGCGAGGTGAAATGAAAAGAGCGTCATCATGAGTAGATCTATTGTTTGATGTTATCCTTCTTCTCCCTAGTTAAGCCAAACCTTCAATTTAGGCCTATCCATAAAAGGTAGCTTCCTGTACCGTTCGCTTTTTTTTTCCTGACTGCTATATGAAGCATGTGTATGCTCTGAATTAGGCAAACAGGGGACCGGCGCACAGTGGGCCAGGGAGGAACCAAAGTGCGCCAAAACTAAGTTTGGGTGATTTTTTTTTTCAATTTTTTTCTTGCCCAGTTGAAAGGTAATACATAGAGGAATACCTCAGTGAAATATTTAATTCCGTTATGCACAATAAGGGTATAAATTTACTACTTCAAACAGCAAAATCCTACATATTCACAGTTTTAGTGCAAAAGTGACTTATTTTATAAATCTTTCAATTCAACATGAAGTTTTTAAGTTATTGATATGAAATTGCTCTCACATATTCCTGATAGTTAATTTCGTTGAATGAATGGGTTAAAATTAATAGAAACACAATCTTCATGATATATTATAGGGTAATTCACTGAAAAATGGACTAATTATCCATGTTTTTTATAAATCCAGAAGAAATGTTTAGATCTCCGCAGTGTACCGCTTAAATTTTAATACCACCATTTCCTCTGATGTCTAAGCTTTAAGTTGATACCAAATTTGGCTGCCCGATCTTGCCCGTTGTTATGTTAGAGCCGATTTCCCTTGCCACATTGCCCCGAAAAATGTGGGTTTTGGGGGTCCGCGGCTGAATCATGAAGGATTCGTGGTCATAAATCACGGCGCGAGGGGGCGCGTGACACTTATTCTGACACCGCGGACCGAAATAAACACATTTTCGGGGCAATGTTGCAAGGAAAACGGCTCTAACATAATAACGGGCAGAATCGGGCAGCCAAATCTGGTATCAACTTAAAGCTTAGACATCAGAGAAAATGTTGGTAATAAAATTTTAGCGCAAATCCCTGGAAATCCAAACATTTCCTCTGGATTTATAAAAAATAAATCCCCAAACATGAGTTTTGACGCACTTTGGTTCCTCCCTGGCCCACTGTGCGGCGGGTTTAAGATCCTCTCCGAACGAAATGTAATGTTGAGTTATGCCTTACAATAGCATATCGACTTGGTTTCTAACCAGGGAGCTCCCGGTTACGAGCTGCTCTGCTCTACCACTGGGCTATAGCGCCTCCCTCCTTTTAAAAAGATCGTTTAAAATTTGCCGGTTTTTTTTTTTAGAATAAGAATCAAAACATGTTTGGTATGTTTTTTGTATCTGTGCATTAAGATTTCAAAATTTCACTTTCGCCACTTAATTATAAAAATCTACGAATAAATGATTCGAATGTTGTGTCGAATGATTAATTATCATCATGAACTGATTAATGTTTTGTATTGCATTTCCAATTGCTGCTCAACTTTATCACCATCAGGCTACACTTTTTTGTTTACATCTTCATGACACACATGTTTTATAATCTCGATATAGTTCCCGGACTCTTTTTTCTATTTATTCCACTTTTAAAAAGAGCTATGGAATTATTATGATTTAAAACGCATTTTGGACGGGCAATTTTCGAAGGCATATCTCGGGCGTGAAATCCTGCCACGGCATTTTATGTTTTTTTTTCCCTGAGGCCACTTAACAAAATATACATGTTTAGCGTCCCCGCCTGCTTCCTTTTTGGGGGCCGCCTCCTATTTTTTTATTTTTGGTTAAATAATATGAAAAACAATACTAAAATGGATCTATTACTGATTTGTTTAAAAAGTTAAAAGATGTCGGCGGCCATTTTGAAAAATAGCCCGACTGTCAGGGAAAATGTACCGAGCGGCCATTTTGAGCGGCCATTTTGAAAGAAAAAGAAAAGAAAAGAGAGGGCCTCCTCCTTCCTAGTTTTCGAAAAAACAGGACACTAATAAAAAAAACTTTTATTTGGCCTTAGAGCGAACTTTTCTTTTGTATTCGCTCCGTAAAACTCTACTTTATCAAACAGCGAGGTGAAATGAAAAGAGCGTCATCTTGAGTAAATCGTTTGTTTGATGTTATCCTTCTTATCCCTAATAAGCAAACCTTCAATTTATTAGAACCAAGTCATGGGAGGAGAAAAAAAAAGGATTAGACTGACAAAATATAAATTCTTCCAAGCTCAGGCTGTGGCGATGTGCAACGCGTAGCGTGAATATGAATGACGAGAGAGAAAGATAATTCCTTTGTCCATTATACGACGCTAGAATCATATCGCGATGTGGGAATTATACAAATATGTTGATAATCATTCAAATTACAAACATAGACAAGCGACCCAAACAGTAATGAATTTGCCGACTATAACCGCATACATGTAGTCGTTCACATCATTCGTCTTTTATTTTTTGTTGTTGGGGACAATTAAGCTCGCAATTAAACAACCATTAATCGTACATAGTCATCTTTATTTCACATTTCATACAGTCGTCACAAAAATTAAAAGGAGGCGTATTAAACCCAACAAAAATAAATCATAATGTATTCTGATCAAGATGAACGAGTGTGTTGATTGCCCCCCAAAACAAAGACGATCCCACCAGAGAAGTTCATGCTGTGCTGTAGTAATGTACATCGCAAAGCTTCGCCACAATGATTGGAAAGGTAATACCCCGCCCGTTACGACGCAAAACGGCGCGAGAAGAATAGATCGCGACGCGAGAAGAATACATCATTTTTTTTTTTACAAACAATGGAAAGTTTATCAGAACGAAAACCGGAGGAGGGGAAGACAGGCTTTGGCCGACAAATACTTTCTGTATATCAAGTTTAAGCTGTACCGCGCATCACGAGCGAGAACAATGACGGGAGAGATAATCTTCCATCGCCTGGTGGGGCGCAAAAGGGCGCAAGAAGAATAGAGCGGGTTTATACTAACAATAGACGGTTTCTTTTCATATGCAAGAATCAGGTGAGGGTGACTATTGCGCCCCTTCGCGCCCCTTTGCGCCTCAATGCGTCTCTTGGGACGCCACTGTTCTATTCATCGCGCCCCGACGCGTCCGGGCACAGTCGCAACTTTGGAAGGCTCCCCTAAACCCTTTTTTCTTTTCAGCTTCACCTACCTTCTCAGTTGTCTCCAGACCTGTCGCTCAAGTAATGGGCTACAGTATTTATAACGGCAAGATCATGATAGGGGGAATCGGAGTGGATAACTACGTGCACAGGTGGGCACATCCTCAAAATTATCCACAAAATCATCTTCATAGTAAACTACTCTAAAAGAAAGCATGATATTATTTTGTACACAACAAATAAGTACTCTTTGGCGATATTCATATCATGGGTGATTACGCGCAATTTGTCTTGTCACTTTTTGAAAATGAAGCAGCACCACGTGTTACGTACTACGCTGTTCTCTGACTTTTTAACGATCAATCCGACCAGCTCATAAAACACAAATGCTATACATTTACCTCAAAGTTAACAATTCACTTTCACTTTCTGTTGACTATATAGGATTGGTATTAGAAGCAGATATTTTTTACTTCATTATAGTAACATTTGCAGCAAACATGTTTTAAGATGATGGTTGCAGGCAACGTAGCCAAGCGAGGGGAGTGATAGGGTAGTCATTCCTTATAAAACAAACCGGGAAAAGAAAAGAAAAGAAAAGGAAGAAAAAAAAAGAGTAAAATAATGTTGTTGAATGAGAAAAGAAAGCAAATTCTCCTCTTCCACTCACTAACTTTTCTCTCTATTTTATATTTTTCGGTAAAGTTGCTCAGTGAGGCGATTGTTGATTGTTCCTCTGTGGCAAAACTTTAATTATAAATGATCAAATTCAGGTCATTATTTGTAATCTATATTTTCAATACAATGTCGTTCCAATCTTCGCTACTCTAAGGATGATTTTCTGCTTCAATGTACCTTGTTGCAAAGCTGGGGGTGGCATGTTTACTGGGACTGCATCTACAGAATGGAACAATATCCAAATTTTCTTCAAATCAGCTATTCTACAGACCAATTTAAGAAAATATTGAAAACATAATTCTTGAAAATACTGAATGCTAGTAAATATTATTGTTATTATCATTAAATATATTTTCTGTGTGTGATTGCGATAATCAGGTGCGCCCAGGCTGCCTGTGATACAGTGGACAATCCTTGGAGTTACTGCACGTGGGGAGACTGGCATCAGACTGGGGGGAAGATTCCATTTGACGATGGTGGGATGCAAAACAACTTGGTCATGAGCAGGAATGTACACTTTGGGGTTGAGATCTTTGCAGTCCAAGAAACGAGTGGGCAGTAAGTATATCCAGGGACCTAACATCTCTCATTTAAAGACCGGGATACGACCCATTAGACCAATTTATTTAGCCAAATGTAATTAGCCCTTCAGACATGGATAGACTAGACTTTACGTCAGGCGGCTCATGCCGCGAGACAAATGATCTGTTAGCCCATTACACATCTGTTATAATGTGAAGTTCCCCATGAGAAATCATAATTGCCTATCTTCATTTTGTAGATTATGGCAAACTTGGCAGCCCGGGAGAGATACGTCTTGGAACGTCTGGAGAAAGATTCCACAAAACCTGACGGGGGCAGCGTTCATCAATAACCCTTACCTCCGTCTCAACGAAGCTGGATGGTGGATAGCATATGGTCTCAATTACAAAAACCAGGTGATTTTTTGGTTCTAGGACACCTACCCCCTGGACATCCACCCCCGGATAACTAACCATAGTTAACTACCCCCTATGACAACTAACACCTTGGGCAACCACCCTCTAGGACTACTACCCCCGGGACAACTACCCCCTAGGACAACTACCCCCCCCCCCCCCGGACAACTACCCTTCGGACAACTACCCACTGTCTGGGGGTAGTTGTCCAGGGGTAGTTGTCCATTGGCTCATTGTATGACAACATTCTTACAAATTTTAGAGTGAATGAAAAATGAAATCCTAATTGGAGGTAAATGAAGCTGATACCTTCAAACCTTTAAAGAGTTTCTTTACTCGATCTTTGAATTCATTCTGACCATGCATTCCTTGCAGGTTGTTCCGGTTGAGGCTTTACATTCCATGGACATCAGTCCAAAGAAGGTAGCCTGGTCCAATAACCTGGTCGTGTCCTGGTCTATCTCTATCGACCAGGCTTCAAAAATGGACTGGATCGGTGTCTACCCCAAGGGAGGAAACAACGATCAGTACCTAGACTACAGGTAGGTCTAAAAGCTCTTACTAGACGGTTAATTTGTTGGCAGAAACTCTTGTCCGTCGCTGTGCGTAGCAGTGTCTGCATTGTGAGACTAGGCTGACAGAATACTGCTTAGGCTCTGTAATTTAGCTTCTCCGACCAAGGCTAGACACTGACAGAGCAAGGCTCTCCTCAAGGCAAATGTTGTCTGTGATGTCCTTTAAAATAGAGGGGAACTTATAAAAACATCCATCTTGGGGTACATTTTCCTATTTCTGGAGTTTTTTTTTTCTTCATCTTTCAGGATTGGTTCTTATAAACTGGTTTCACTGTTTTGTGGTTTTCCCCTTTTTTATTGAGTCTTCCTCTTTTCTGGAGTGGTCTTTATATACATGTTCACTATTCTTCCGTTTTCCACTTTTCTTGAGTGGTCTTTTTATACAGGTTTCACTATTTGCGAGTTTTCCACTTTTCTTGAGTGGTCTTTATAAAACAGGTTTTTTTTAATCATTATTCTCCAGGTATGTCCAGGGTGGCTTGAATCCTGGAAAGAACCCCGTATACATAGGAAAGGTGTCTATGTCCTCCTTCGTTCCCAACGGGACTTATCAGGTTCGCTACCTGATGAACAGTCAATTCATCAGCGTTATGGAAATGGGTACGTTGAAGGCTCGTTCAGATAAGAGGCTATTCCCCATATTTTTTGTTCATAACATTGCAAGATTTTCTTTTTCTTGGACACACCTGTTTAAAAAGATTTCCATATTATTATACATAATGTAATTACGATAATGTCGACCATGCACCAATTTTTATAAGGATTCAATCAGTGTTTTACATACCTACAGAAAACAAGGGATATTGTTGTTAAATATAATATACAAGACGGATAGAGAAAACTGAGGGAATGACATCACCATCTCACTAAGTTTCCTAAAGCATTCGTACATTTGTCTTTCTATACAAGCCAGAAGAACATATAACGAACATATTCCATGCCAATTTCCACATTGATACCCAAACTGTATTTGTCTTGATTAGATGTGACCTTCTACAACGAATCCCAGGAGTCAGATATTTTGCAACTTTTCCGAGGTATATACACCGGTCTGGGTGTTCCTACGGATAACATTGATGCATGTATAAATGAGGGTCTACAGACCATACAGATATTTGAGGAGTGTTTCCATGAGTTCAAGATGGGAAAGGTAATTACTAACGACTGTTCACTCAGTTTTGGGGTATGTATGTATTCCTAAATAAAATGACACGAAGTTTATCAACTTTCGGTAAGGCGTTTTGATTCTACGGTTATGTCTGTGAAGCGATGTTGTTTTAAAGATTTCCTTCTTTTTTGCAACGAGACCCTTTCACACCGGGCCATACATAGAGTTGCGTAGTATTGTGAATCGACTACGCCGAGCGTACGCTGGCATACGTAATTATACGCTGAGGGACGCAAAAGAGTACGCGAGATGGACGCAACAAATTAAACATGTTTAATTTTTTCGCGTACTTTCGGCGTAGACGCTAGAGGCAGAAAGTACGCATTTTTACGCAAGTCAACGCAGAACTACGTTAATGTTCGCCATGCCTACATAATAGTACGCTACCCTGCGCCAGTCCGACGAATCATTAAAAGCGTATAAAGGCGTCCAAGATCGTACATGCGCACCTACGTACCCTTAACGCCAGACCTACGTAATGTACGCCAGCCTACGCATAACCTCCGCAGGAAATACGCCAAAGCAAAATTTTTCATTAATACGTAGCCTCGGCGTACTCGGTACGCAACACTTCGCAACTCTACGCAAATTCAGTGAGAGAGGGGCTTAAGCAGCAAGAAATGTTTGCATGACGGCTGAATTCCCATACATCCAGCTGTGTGGTTGAAGAGAGTCGTCATTGTTTTATTTTATTTTTTTTATATTATTATCATTGTTTTTTATGTTGTTAGTATGTTTATACAAATTTTGTATATACATTTTTTTCTTATGTTCATGCCTCTTTTTTCCTAGGTATTCCAAGGTCTACAACTCCTCGGCACAGCCCTTGAAGATGTTGCCCAGACTCTGACAAAATGTAATTTTTTTTCGATCGCTAAGAAACTCCTAGACTATATCACAGATCTCTTGGAGTGCATGGAGGGTAATTGTGTTAAGTTCTTCATCGACGTTATAAAGGAGCTCCGGATCCTGTTTTTGAATAGGTATGAGATCTACGGGGATATCAGGGGTGCCGAGAATAGCTTTCAGCAAACGGCTTATCAGCAAGGAGGGCTGTGTATCGGAAGATTTGTCAAGGCTTGCTTTCTGGTACAAGACTCCCTGATGACCAATGGTAGTTTGGAGTATGTTGTGAAGATGACTGGGAACAGTATGAGTATGAATGCTTTGAAGCTTATTGCCAACGGTAGAAGTGAGAATATGAAGCTGATCGAATCCGGTAGTAAGATGGGGGTGAAGCTGATTGAAACTGGTAAAAAGAAGGGGTAAATTGATTGAAAGTGGCAGAAAGGAAGGAGTCATTTTCAGGCCTCTCATAAGATGAAAATGCGTTTATGTGTTTTTTTTTTCGGGGGGGGGGGGTGAGGGGAGATTACAAGGTTCGGCCTTTGGTCTATTGCTCTTTATATCAGTAGCATCAGTAATATGACACATGTTTTTGTAATTGTGTATTTTATGGAGATCATAGAAGTAAATGTAAAAACCATGTGTTGTGATAGTTTGCTATGAAATGCTGTGTGCCGTAAGTGTACTACTGCAACGTTGTCTTTCGTGTTTCTGTATAAAGCAATATGTGTGTCAGACTTATAGAATGTATTGCAAGCAAGGATGTACGTTTTTAGAGGAATGAGGTGCAGAATAAAGCCATTTGCTTGTGTCCTCACATGTACTGCAGTCTAGAGTATCAATTGGATGTGGGGCGGGGTAGTTGATTTCCCTCACTTATTTGGATATTTTTGTAACTTTAATTTGTGTAGCTCCAATAGAGCAACAACAAAATTGTTATCATATCATGTGGTAGAAAAGAGGGAGTAAATTGATAGACACTGTCACACTGGTATAAAGAACTTGGTGAATCTGATTAGACTCGTAGTAAGGAGAGGCTGAATGTAATTGAAACTGGTAGAAAGCAGGGGTAAATTGATTCTTATAACGCAACGAAAACCTTTCATGTAGTAAGACTTATTTACTCGGTATTTAAATAACATGTGCCTTTTTTGTTAGCCGCACACCAATTATTCCTCTATTCCTCTCTATCTGTCTCTCTGTTTCCTGAAGCAAGTCATTTTTTGTCATTTTTTGCCATTGAGTTTCTGTTGTTTTTTGCCTGTTTATATTATCATATTTTGTTGTGGCTGTACTCATAAGTTACAGAGCTGCATGCACTTCAAGCGCAAACTTTCGCTGCAGCTCTTTTGCATTTGCTATGTCAATCATTCCCAACATTTTTGGGCATAAATTGTGTTATTCATTGTGATTTAAAGAAGAAAAAAGTACTATTAAAATGTTCATATTGTACCTGATTATTATTGTATGAAAAATGCAGAAATCAATAAATCAAATTAAAAAAAAGGAGAATCTGATTTAAAGAGGCAGATAGAAGGATGAATCTAAATAAAAGCGGTAGTAAGGAGGGGTTGAATCTGATTGACACTGGTAGAAAGGAGGGGTGAAGTTGGTTGATACTGATTCTTAATCGGGTGGTTGCCCCCTACGTCCCCCTCCTTCCTAGTCCTAATAGAATAATAAGTGGCACTGATCATAATACATGTTCTGTATAGTTCGTGTAAGGTAAACCTATGTTAAAGTACTGTTTTCTGACATTTTAAATACTGTGCCTGAGGCATGTCTCTATCTTAAAAGGTCTTTCGCTTTATCAGTGTTTCTGTTTTGCAAACCATTAAATTTTATTTTAATATTGCACTTTTATGAAATATACTCAATTGCATTATATGAGTACATACAGTACCTGGGTATGTAGTAGAGAATGAATGTTTTTATATCATGTATTGTTCGTAGATATAACACTACTCTCTCTGATGATGTTATTCCTTGATGAAGAGAAAATATAATTACGCTTTTAAAGTCATGCTTGGTGTGTGTTTTTTTCTTTTCGTTCACAAGAATTCCTCATTTTTGGTAGCAATTTGCATTCTCTCGTACTTCTCTCCCCCCTTTCATTCTTTCAGTGTTTTTGTTTTGCTTTCAATTCTTTTTTTACATAATTAACTTTTATAAAATAAATTCAATTGCACTAAATGATTAAATACCTGTTATGTAGTAAAGAATGTACGCCTTTTATATTATGTATTTCTCTGGCTATTTTGGAAATCATGACTTGCGTTCGTAAAAAAACAGAACTAGAATAAAGAGAATAAATATTTGCGCTTTTAAAGTTATGCTTTTTCGGTGTGCTTTTTTCGTTCACAAGAGTTCCTCATTCTTAGCAAAATTTCTTTAATTCTTATTTCTTGTTCTTTCCTGCTCCTCCTCCTCCAACAGCTCCCACTCCTTTTTCCCATTAAATTATATTTGTATCGATAACATAGAACTTACTGTGATCATGGTAATTATGCTATTCCTAGATGACACAATCATCATCTTCTTCTTCTTCCTATTTTTTTCTTTTCTTCTTCTTCTTTCATGAAAATAACTTGTTTTCTAAAGTCTTATGTTCTGACCATACCCTGGCACCTATTTATAGGCGCCGGAAGCGAGGGAAGGGGGGGGGGTGGGGGCGGACGCCCCTAATCGAAAAAGTGAGGGGGGCACAATGCACATATGGAAACGTTTGCTTGTATTTTGTCTCATAAAAGAAGTTGATCACAAACTGACTACCACACGGTGTTTAGTGCTCAGGGGTCACAGGCCACTGGCTTCATCGGGCAGGTAGTTCCATAATGTGAATGGGTAAATTAACTATTACAAAATGAGGGGACACATTACATTGTACAATAGGGACACACATTGTTTTTATTGTGCAGAACATACTCTTTTATTGACTTACTTATGAAACTATAAAACCAAAATGCATTTTGTATTCTAACAATTGGAGTACAAAGAATTTTAACAGGTGAATGAAATGCATAAACACCACAAACACCTGGGGAGGAAGCATTCATAAGTTTGAATACATATAGTTGATAAACGACTCCGATGAAACTATAAAACCAAAATGAAATTTGCGTTCTGGCAATTGGAGTACAAAGAATAATAGCAGGTGAATGAAATGCTTTAACATCAACACAAACACCTGGGAAGCTAGGAAGGATCCATAAATTTGAATAATTTAGTTGATAAACGACTCCGCATGTGGACGTTTGTTGGAGCAGAAAGCAGTGGATTCTGAACAACACGAACCTATTTAACAGAATGTCGGAACGTAAATTAAATTTGGCGCTGTTGAAAAATGCATCTTTCTACCCTGCGACTTGAATGGTACGATCCAGTAAATTAAAACAGTAAATGGCTCTTATTTTAAAATTACTCATTACATAAAACCCAAAACTTCAGTGATATCAGAAAAAATATGTTAAATCTTACTAATAGTTAAAAAAAAGATGTATACACATTGTGAAAGTGTCGCATTTTACGATAAAAGACGCCGATTTAGCAAAGATGACGTCATTAGTGCGCTTGCATCAGGAAATTCAAGGTCAAAAGGTCAGTTCAGACACTGATAAGTTATTGGTCGAGCCTTTTTGTTTCCTTTATTCCGACAAAATTATACAATCAATCAAAACAAGTTTAATACCAAAAGAAAGCTAACGATTAGAATTTTCATTAACCGCTTGCCCCAAAGTCGCTTGAATACAGTGAAACGAGTGAGAGCTTGCGAGAGCGGCCAAAGTGTGATTGAAACTCGCTATTTGCTCTTCTCCAACGCAAAAAGAGACGACATTGTGCTGGATAAATGTATTTTTTCCGACGAAAGTACAGAAAATTTGCATATGGTCTTTCGATATTATACTTTATGAAATGTTACCCGAGTGACTTCCGGGCGCCCCAATGCTTGAAAAAAACGCACATTTTAGAAAACTTCACTTTTTCATGGAAAAATGCTTATTTGTTCTATGCACGCAAGTCAGATTGAGCGGATGATACAACGTTTCTATATGTTTCTCCCCCTCCCAACAAAAGAAAAACAAAACGCCCTCCGCCCCCGAAACAAAATCAGCAGTAAAGAAGTAAAAATGGTTAGTGTTTTATAACCAAAAAGAAAAATAAGAAATAATTAAATGAATTGAATCACATACAAATTATATTCCATTCAAAGAAAAGGAGAGTAAGCAGGAATATCGTGGAAATATTGTAAGAGGGTGAGAAATCGTGTTTTTTTTATTATTATTATAAGGGTGAGAAGACATGAGCCCCCGGACACTGGCATACTGATGGGGGGGGGGGCAGTCCCCCCTCCCCCCCCCCCCCATTTAACATTCAAACGTGGTTTATTTCTAATTCGATACCAGTGATTTACAAAAGTTGCTGAAATGACATGATTTTCCGGGACTTCTGTAAAATATTCTTTTTTATGCGTTTGATGGAAAATTAAAAAATTAAAAAATTTACAGTCAGGCAAAAAATATGTTTTTTAGAAGCCTTCATGTCAAAACCTGCATAACGGCGGGGTTTGGGGGCTCAAGTCTCCCTAAAGTTTTTGAAAAGTATGTTAAATAGAAAAGGAATTAAAGAGAGAAAGAAATGAAGTATCAAAATATGCTCATCTGACCGTAATTAAGTGTCTAAACCCCCTGAGCTTCATGGGGCTCAGCCCCTAGCCCCTGGACCCCCCCGCCAATTAGTGACCTGCCAGTGTCACAAATAAGGCCTGGCTGCCTGGAGAGGGGAATATGAGAAATTTATAATAAATGTTTCTTCCACTGGTCTGTGTGTTTGTCACCTCCCCTTCCCCTTTTAACTTGAAAATAGACCGATGTTTATTACAAGATACATAAGTTTCGTGGGCATATTATTAACTTGGCCTAGCAGGGCAACATCATCAACATGGCCTGTTCATCTGCAGATATTGTGCAAACTGGTGATTGCTGTTTTGAGAGTAGGCCCCTTTTTAGAATGTGACCAAATGTATGCTTAAAGACCCTATCCGATGAAAATACAACTTGATGTTAATGGAAAACTGAATGAATGTAGTAAACATAATAACAAGTAGTTACCCTTTCGCCATTGCACAAAGGCAAATTAAAACCTCATGTTTCGCCCCCCCCCCCCTCCAAATTACGGGTCAACAGGGGTCAAATTTCCCGAAGCTACAGTGACGAGAGAACATTTGGACGGTGGACCCGACCGGTTCACCTGTATAGCTGAGGCTACGAACCGTGCTTAATTAATGCCATTTTAGATAAAGAAATATATAAAAAGGGCCTCCTCCTTCCTATTTTTCAAAAAATCAGGACGCGAAACATGTCTTTCTAATAAATGGCCTAAAGGCTAATACAAACCTACCTCTACTAGCACCCTGCCCCTGCATGGTACCATTTTGTTACTATACTACCATCCTACCACTATAACGAGCCGGGGATTCGCCGCATTGCGTGTACGATCGGTGGCAATGAACTTTGTACCTAACATACGGCGCTGTGCTTGGTGTTAGGAATTATTGTATGAGCGAAATTTAGTCTTGTCTATTTATACACATTTTGGTTTCGTTAATC